TTTATCTGGATTCTCTCTTGCAGAAATGGGCATAGTCTTGCACAGGTTAATAGCAAGTGCCCCCAGAAACTGGGGCACTATTTGTTAATTTTGATACAGTTTAATAATGAAGCCAAATTGCTTTTTCTAGATTCCTGTTTTAATTCAAGGTATAAAGTGATCTTCAGCATTCCTAGCACCCTGTTTTTTCTCTTTGTAATGGTAATTCATTCTCTTATAACAGTCATTTGTCACGTGGTAGCTTGGTGGTCGTATGTATGACGTCATTTACTTGGACTTTTAGGAGTGACATCATATGTACGGCTGCTAAACTGCTGCATGGGACATCACTTAAACAGTTCGCTTCTGAAGAAATCATATCAATCATTTTCAGGCTATGAACACCTCCTGATTATTAAGTTGTGAATTATTTATTTCTCTTTAATAAAGAATATTTATAAATAAATGAGGCATTCCTTTATTGTATCAACATCATTTGTATTTCCATCTGAACTAACTGAAGGATGGATGGGAAGGGTTTTTAACATGTGGTAATGGACTCTGAACATTCAAAATTTGTTCAGTACCATAGGTACTAACCAGGTGAAAATTATTTAGTCTTGGCTTTCTTATGGTGAAAATGTGCGTTTTAAAATTTAATTCCTAAAATTTACAGATATAATCATTAAAATGTAGTAGCAGAGGTGATTCCAAATCATTAATTCTGTGAGAGCACACATACACGCAGACACACAGAGACTTGTGGGACATTTCCAGCCTCTCCCATTAGCACGGTACACACTCAGCTTCCCCCTGCTTTGTATAGCCATGCCCAAGCTCCTGCTACTTCTGATAAGAAAATAATGACCCAGAGATTTGTTTCTGCCCTGTTTGCCCTTTCTTGACCCCTACAGTAAGGAGCACAAGAAGACTAAAACAAATAATAATATCTGACGTCACAAACTGTAACAAGATTTTTGTCTGACTGAGCTCCAGAAATATAAGGCTGGATCGTCAGCCCACTGAACTGACTTCAGGAAGGTCAGGCTTTAGGCTCCGAGTCCCATAGTGGTGGTGGGTGTGTGATTCTCCTATGCATGTGCATTGGGTCTGGCTGAGATGGAGTTAATTTTCCCATAGCAGCCCTCAGGGTGCTGTGTGTTGCACTGGTAGCTAGAACAGTGTTGGTAACAGCAGTGTTTTGGCTACTGCTGAGCAGTGCTCACACAGCATCAAGGCTGTCTCCCCAGCACCCCCCTCCCAGTAGGCTCAGGGCCCCAGAGGTGGGCAGGATTTTGGGAGGGGACAGAGCCAGGACAGCTGACCAAACTGACCAAGGGGATATTCCATACCATATGACACCAGATCAGCAATAAAAGCTAAGGGAAGGGAGGAGGAGGGGACATTTGTTGTTAGTACATTTGTTTCTGGGAGCAACCACTATGCGTATTGAAGCCCTGCTTCCCAGGAAGTGGCTGGACATCGCTTGCGACTGGGGAGGGGAGAAAAAAAAAAAATCGCTTGCTGATGGGAAGTAGAGAATAAAATCTTTGTTTTTCCTTTGCTTCCTTGCCTTGGCTTTTTCTTTAGTTAAACTGCTTTTATCTTAATCCATGAGTTTTTCATATTGTTTTCTTCCCTTTATTCTACTGAAGGGGGGAGTGATAGAGCAGCCTGGTGGGCACCTCGTATCCAGCCAAGGTATCCACCAACACCTTGGTAGAAAACACCAGCATTGCAAACAGAGGTGTGGCTGCTCAACCTCCAGCAAGCCACCAAATTTGTTTTTCATTAGTCTGATTAAATGGTCATCTGATTTTAAGGTAGAAGAAAATATTATTCAAAATTCCATGGCCAGCTTTTCAAATCTAGGCAAACAGAAATGATTAATAGCAATCAAAGAGTACAGTTAAAGGACATATCACAGATGAACAATACCAGTAACACACCCAAGTATAGCCCTTACTTTGATTTCACACACAAACTGTTTGATGACATCAAAAGTCCCTGGAAAGATTTATGTGCAACTAACTTTGAAAATCTGAGTCTTTGTGTTTGGTAATAAGAAAAAAAAAAAACAAACCTGATAATTTAAGAGACAGTTGTAATTTAGTATTATTATCCCAGTAGTTATCCAAACTTGCCTTAGATTTGCTGTAGACCATTTAGTGATTTCCACTGATGAAGTAATTTCCATTGAGCTTCAGTGGCACGGTCTCAACCATGTGTTTAATCTCTCTGAGTGATTCCCTGGCCCAAATGTGGGCAACAGAAATTTTGCTGGCCATGATTGCCTTGCTCAGAGGTGGTAGAACGAGCAGTCCTCCTGGTTACATGGTTTAGCACTTTAGAAAATTTTGTGCACAATCCATGACATTTATCCTATCCACCACCACAAGTACTTTCTGCCTCCAAGTATTAAAATATTCTTATTTACCTGTATTCAACAAGAGCTGACTTCTTCAGGAATTGGATTAGTCCCTTACACACGGAGACACACATGAGATGGACCTTTAAGAATAAGGTCTCTTCAGTCTCTGAATTGTATCTTACTTGTCAAAATCATCATCCCTAGTTACGAACTGTTATATCTCCGCCAGTTAAAAGATGCAAATAGAGCATTCCATTTCTGATGGCATATCATACTTTTGATTTCAGCGTATATGTTTCTGTACTGGCAATGATCTGTCTTTTTAAAAATGGTGTGTGGAAGAGGATACAAAAACAGAACAGGGAAAGGATGTTCTGAAGCACTGAACACTTTCTACAGTTTCTCTCTGTGTAGCTGGCCTTTGCCAATTGTTTAATGTCTGTATTGTGCTTTATTCTGTACAGATGAAGCAAATGAAACTGCAACAGTATTTATGGCCAGCAACACCAGTCTTGCTAGTCTCTGTCAGTGTGAAATGATTTTGATCTTGTTTGGTCAAACAGATGTGAAGAACAGATCATTTCCTTCCTAGAAGAAAACTAAAATAAAATAAAAGCATTGTTTCAGGGCAAGGAAAATTGGTGATGTTTTCCAAACATAATCAGATGGTTATGCTTTCAAAACATAAGTGTGTTCCCAAACTGGCCCAGAGTAACAGGGGAATCATTGAGAACAGAGGCGATGCCACAGAAGCCCTCCCCAGCTTTATTTTATGATACCATTTTTCCTCTATTGAATGCAAACAGCTTGGAACTGAGGTATTATTCAAAATAAGAAAGAAAGAAATAAGGATGGATTATCTATGAACCACCAAAGCCTGGGGTGATATATGGACATGAAGGGCTAAGACAACCTGAGGGCATCTGTAGAACCTTATCTGCACTTTCCTACACTTATTGCTGGATTTAGGACATTGCTTGGTTGGTTTTTAAATGATCCTCATAGACTCCAGCTACTCCCTTTAATCTTTTCATAAGTGAGGGATCAGTGATATGTTTGGCTTTGCTTCTCTATTTCCTGTTCTGGCTTTCTAGATGCTTAATTTTTCACTTGGATGGCCAGAGGAAATGTTCCAAATGGCTTCACTGTCCAAGTATATCTGTGTGGGTGTGTGTGTATACATACACACACATAAAATGTATATAAAATTGTGTCTGACAGAAAATATCTTCCTTCTTATTGATCCCTTTTTATTTGAAGTACTTGTTTAAGTGCAATGAGATAAACTGCCTTCACTGTCCTCCAGTCTTCAGATAGTGTCATTTTAAGATGAAAATGTTAGTATCAAAAGAGATAGATTAAATTAGGAAAAATAATTTGGTGTATGAATATAAAAAGATGAAACTGACATAGTTTGGCATAGAAGTATCAGGATAAAGTAATGCCTTTTTTTCAATTAAGTGTGCTTTTGCTGTGTATTTTACTAAGGTATTGTAACTGTGCAAATGGGAAAGAAAACAATGTATTAATGAGATACAGTTGCTTGTGATGTGCAATAAAAAAGGGGAAGCAACAATTTAAGAAGGTGATATTTGAACTTCCAAACCTGTCATGTTTCCAGTTTGAACAACTTACAAATGGTTGCTTAAATATCTGCATAGTAGTATTTGGTGCTGAAAACATCAAGTCTGTGTGTCTATGAGAGCCCTAAGTTTTGAAGCAGCTTGTAAATGACTCTGTAGGTGTTTGCAATGGCTTTAGTATGGTTTAGCGTAGGGAAAAAGTAGAGGGTCATGCAAGGAAGGTGCCACAGCTGCATTGCTTTTGCTGTGGGAACACCTTCATGCAGAGAAGTGTCCTGATACAGGATTAAGGCAGAACACAATCAACTAAAGCTCCACACTCTCATTTCCACCCTAGCTCAGAGACCTGAGCTGTGCAATGGATGGATGGATGGATGGATGGATGGAAAAAAAGATAGCTGACCTGTCTACCTGAGATTTTTGCCTTCCAGAGGCAACAATCCTTCCCTTTGCCCTTCAGGCAGCTCGGAGTGGGAGAAGTCAGAAGATGCCACTTGATCAAAGAGGACTTTGTTATTCAGACTCTCAAATTTAGGGATGCTTTGCTTAGGTACATACCTAGGAGCTAAGGCCAGGTAGTGAAGTTTAAACTCTCTGCCCTGTGTTTCTGTGGCCTTAACAGTTGAGGAGCTCAAAGCAGGTGACATAAAACATGAAATAGTCAGTTTTGAGACTGTGATACTGAGGTATTTTGTCTGGGCAGTCTGGAGAGAAATTGACACAGGCGAGGAGAAATACATGGGTGCAACTTTGGGCAGATGACACTAAATTTTTTTTGCAGATCACTAAACTACATGAAAAGATTTTTAAGACTTTATCAAGTATTTCGGGGTACTCTCTTTTGCCAAGAAAATGGGCTTGGTTAAAATCCTGAGTTTATAGTCAGGTAAACTAGTGAAAATTCAGCATTTACTTTGCAAGCAATATAAGGTCCATCATAATGTTAAACATATGTGCAAATAAAGGCCTTTACAGAATGCATAATAAAGATTTTTGATCCTCACTTTTTTATTTTATCATCCTGGTTTATTCACTTGTACTAACAGTTTTTCCTATCTGTACAGAGAATGGTTCCAAGTCTTTCTTCTACTGTAAATTATACTGATCCTACATTAGAGCCTGCAGTAACTGAAAACTCAATCATACGACAGAAGATAATAGATTCACAGTTCAAATGCTATGAGAGGATGAACAGAGCTCCTCCATATAAGAAAAAAGGTAAAAAAGATTTAAAATAATATGTTTGTATATTGCCACCCTTGTTTATATTGCTACAAGGAAACATTTTCTTCTGTATACTGACCCTTAGTTTTCCTCAGGGTGCAAGAAGACTTAAGTGCAAAGAAAGATAAAAACCTGGAAGGATCCCAGGGCATCAACAGCTCTTCCCTTCTCCCCATGCAGACAGTACCTCTGTCATCTACATTTCTGACTCAGTGCTTTGCTGCTTTAATATCTTTTGCTCTTGCTTAGGGAATGGCATTCTCCAGAACCTTTCAGCAAGCTCACACAAAGACCTGATTGTGATCAGTGTTCTCTTAAATATAAATGTTGTTCTTCTTGCTTCACTCACTGTTGTGTTTTTCTGTCATTTGTGTGTTGACTGAGAGCTGTCATGCTCTGCACCAACACAGATGTTCCAAGTGTTCTATATTCAGCAGTAACACTAGCAAAAAGAGGTTTATAGAGCACTGACATATCTTTAGTGAATACAAGGCACATATTAAGATTAATAAAAATGGACATGACAAATAATAGTGGTGCTACAATGGCACGGTATGAATGAAGAAGTATTTCTGGTTGGGACTGAGTGTTTTGATCACTGTTTCTCACACAAAATATGGACAAAGTTATGAGGAAGCTAGAGAAAACATATTGGAGGCATTGTGAGGACTTATGCAAGTAAAGAACAAAGATACAGGGGACACTGTTTAAAGAGAAACTATATCTAAAATTACGATGAAAAACCCCCAAACTAGTAAATGGGTGGAGATAATGCGGGTTTTTTGCAATACAAGAACAAAGACATTTCTACAACTCTTTACCACAAAGATTTTACTGGTCTCTGTAAGACTGAAAGAATAATTAGATGTTAAGATACTCGGGTCTTGATGCAGAAGTGTTTTGGAATTAATATTGAGCTTCCCATTGCTTCAGATAGGTTTTAATTCAGGCCAATAATGGGAAAAACCCACAAGAATTTAAACAGGGTTATAGAACAGAAAGCAGCATGTTTCAGCTGTAAACAAGCCTTTGGTTCCTGGGCTTGAGGCAGGAAAAAACTTACTGGCTGCTCAGATTACTCTTTTAGTCTCTAGCTCTATAAATATGTAATTTTTACGTCCATTGATAGTTCCACTGGATTCACCTTTCTTTTGCTCCTTCCTCATGTGATTAGTTGCAAAGGGCTAAAGTGTTTTCCAAGCATAAGCCGGGAATTCATGTCTCATGGCATTAACGTTCTGATAGTGTTCTCAAGGGCAGCATTGTCCCAGGAGGACAGCAGTGGCAGACCCACAGCCATTGGACACGGCACAGCAGTTCCTGCATTCCTTCGACTGGCAGCCAGTTTTAAGTGATGCCACTGGGGACTCATGCTCATAGAAATATGCACTTAATTAATTTATAACCCAGAATGAAGGTAATGGGTGACTAAGGAATGATGCCAACACTACTGAAGTTGTGTTTTTGACTGAATTACAGGATCCTCAGGAGCCCTCCAACGTTTACACTTCGTAAAAGGTTGGAAGGGAACAACGGTCTAAGTCTCTTGGCTGCAAATTTGAAAGGGAGGATGTGATCAAATGGGAAATTCCCCTAATGCAAAGGACAACTGTAGAGGTGTCTCCTGAGAGGAAAAGCCCAACACATGAGCTGAAGGGGTATAATGGATATGTGTTTTCAGCACAAACACTTGTGGGGTTCCTGGGAAAGCCCAGTGGTGCAGCTTTACAGAGCCAGCCGAGATGTGTGTAGTTTTTCCCTGGCATCTCTACAGTCTCTGATGTAGCTCATTTGTAGACTGACATAAAGATAGTTTAAATCCTTCATAATCCTCAGTCTCAAGGCTGAGGGCAATGAACTGTAGAGAACTGCACAGTATTTCACGCTCAGGAGCCAGAGAGATGGTATAATACAGGTGGACTGTGCGCAGCATTACAAGTGGCCATGTGTCAGCAGAGCCAAAGTAATGGACCATGTACACTCCCTTATCTTGCCCATTTCAAGGTAGAATTGATCCCCTCAAATCCCAAAGAAATAACAAAATGCAGAGCTCAGGCACACAGGAACACCTGACCATCCCTCTGAGACAGCGTAGCACTCCTTTGCTCCCTGGCCATCCAAAAAATGTAATATTTTTATCCAGTGATACAATGATACGGTGTTCAACTCTTCTGTTTTATTTCTTAGACTGTTTCATTTCCTGCAACACTTAGAAAACATATAGAGGTATGTATGTGTATACATAAATATATTTACGGATGTAGGTGGGCATATATATCCTGTTACTTAACTTGAAAGACACATTTTACAATGTACAGGTCAGCATCACTGATTTTTTTCTTTATCAGGCAAGTCAGATGATTTAAATCTAGAAATTCCTACTAACCCCATTCTGCAGTATCTTTCAGATACAAGCTCAAGTTGCAAACATTTTCTATTCTTCTTTTTCTCTGATATTACAAAATGTTTCCTAAAAGTCTTTCAGATACATGTCAAAGCTAGAGAAGAACATGAGAATGCCTGAAGGAAAGATAACAAACTGTTGATATGATGGTTGGTTAATTAAGCGAACAAGTAGCATTAGCACATTTAACTTGATAAGGGAAAAAACATAGGTACATCAAGTCTTAGCTAGTGAAGAAAAAGTGTTCATAAAAGTATCTTTTTTTCTATACATCTAATCTGGAAAAAATAATTTGGAAAGTTTTATGCTTTCATTTTTTAATCCACAACTATTTTGACTTAAATACAGTTATTGGTGCAAATTTGAACTCTTCAGACATCTTTTTACAGCTTTCTTGCTTCAGTAAGAAAGCTTATCTGTGCATAATTTCGAAAGCAACAGAAGCAATTAGATGTCCATATTTTATTAACTTTCAATGGTTATTAGGCACCTTCTGTATGATTCTTTCAAAAACAACTTACATGGTCATAGCAGCAATTTTGCAATTTGCTCTTGGGACCAGAGCAAAAAAGGCAAGATGTGTCTTCTCACTGTATTTCCCTTTAACCTGATGGTCATGATGATAAATACCTTTTCCCCAACACAAACTGATTTTGAATGGAAAAAGTGTAGGGGTTTTTCTAATATGTTACTTTCATAAATCCACAATGAGTCAGGAAATTGTGTTACAGCAAGCAGTCTTATAGCACAATTTCTGTGGACTATAGTATGTAACACCTCTGTAATGTGAATCAAGAATGAGCTGTATTCTGCCTCCCTAGGACAGACATCATTTCTGGGGCTGGAAACAGCCCTTCTAGGGGACCCAGCCTCAATAGTGCTACCTTCCCAGAAGGGGCGTGATGAGATCAGGCTCACAGGATGCCTACCCAGACAGCATTAGCAGGCGGATTTCTCATGTTACAGATTGGTCTTGCATCCTTGCTTCACTGGAGCGGTGGTTAAGTCACCAATCTTTAGTACTGAGCGGTGCAACAACCTTACAGGGACCTGTCTCTGCAAATGGTGCTTTTAGCTGGGATGTCCCTGCAAGCCCTTCCTGCCTTTACATTTCAAAGACTTGATTTTCAAAAAAAAAAGGTGAAATGAAAAGTGAGTGTCTATAAGGTCTTTGGATAACTGGGGCCCCCTTACCATTAGTGTTCACATTTATGGCCAAGGAAAAAGGATCAAGAAGAGGAATTTGCAGGATCAGACCCTACATTCAAAATTCAGTTCAACAGGCTTAAACACATTACTTTCCAGTAAGATTAACACCTCTAACATCATGTCAGCAAAAACAAGTACCTTGCAGCACCTGAATGCCACTCAAAGTGTAGCAATAACAAGGGGTTTTATTGCAAAAATAAAATTGTCTGCAGACATCAATAATCCTTGAGAAGCTAGAACAGGACAGGTACAGGAGTTACTTTGTGTGAATTAACTTCTGCATTGCTCTTAAATGTCCAGGTCTGTTCTGCAACCGAACGTGGGATGGCTGGTTGTGCTGGGATGACACACCTGCTGGAAGAATCACTGCTCAGAATTGTCCAGATTATTTTCCAGACTTTGATCCAACTGGTACAGTGTTTCTTTTTGTCATCTTACCTTTTGAAGGAAGTCTTCAAAACATTCATGCCATTCAGTGGAAGCATGTTTCCAGTGGCACTTTTGCAGCATTATGCAGTCTCAGAGGGTTTGGCTGAAATTAAAACATATAAAGCTTTTGGATTGCCTAATTTATATATTTCTGTTTTTAAAAGATTTTATTTGTATTCATATTTTTGTAAATATAACCAATGGATTTATAGAACCTAGTTTATGAAAATGTTAACTACTTAGATATGTTATCAAAACATTTTTAACATCTCATTCTAGGTTTTTATAATGAACAGAAAATGCTAATATAAATGAAATATGTATCAGCATATTTAATTCTTTGTTCAGTTTTTGTTAGAAAATATTTTATGGAAGAAGATGAGCAGAAATAATGTTCTTTCAGTCTTCAAGTTTCAGTTGTTCATTGAATTCTTCATACAATTACTTGCAGCCATGCAGACTAAGAGAAGTAATTCAAGAATGTTTAAAAGGACAAATGAAAGAAAAAATAAAGGACAGAAATATTGCTAAATAGGCATGAGGAAATATTGGACACAAATATAACGCCACAAAGAGTATTGTTTGAAGAAAGACACAGGTGTGTGTTCCGCACTCAGGACATATTGCTTATAGGCAGTGCTTGATGCCACAGTGTGCTAAATCTGGCATACACACAGTGTTCCAATTGCAATAAGAAACTATGAAACTAAACATTTCTGGGGGAGGGCATATAAATCTAAATACTTTCAATAAGCTTAAACCAAAATGTATGCGCCCAAATGTAAGTAAGGAAAGAGACTATTGCATAGCTGTGAATTGATTACCCAGTACCATTAGCTAGAACTGTTGATTTTGTTGAACTTATTGCCTATTATAGAAGCAGAGGAGTTTCCAGTTTGGATTAGACCCAGTACACATTTTGCTGAATCCCATTTGCAGTAGCAGCCAGATTGATCAATATTTCTGTTCTTTATAAATCAAGCTATCCATGGTTAGAGAATTCACCTGGCAAGTGGGAAACTCCAGTGCTAGCCCCAGTCGGAAGGGATTCAAACCTGCATCCCAACTTTGATGGAGGAACCTCCCCCTTTCCAGGGGAAGTAGAGAATGAACAGGATGGATGGAAGGATTTGCATGCCTGGGAAGTGAGCTTGTGTGGCAGTGTGACAGTCCACCTCTTGTGGGAGTACCCTGAGACCTACCCCAAAAATCTTTACAGCAGCTTACATCCCTGAGACACACAACAGCCACCAGATCACAATGTCTTGTCTTTTGTGACCTCCTTTTTTTTTTTTTTTTTTTGCTTTCTGACACACTTAGTCTTGACCTCTTTTTTGTACAGTGTCATAGTTTTCAAGAAGGAGTCTTGCAGCAGGGCCGTGCTCATGGCTAAATGTTGGAGCACCTTGAGGGGAAACAGGCTGAGGAGCTGAGACCCTCTGCTGGAGGGGTGCCTTTGACCTAAGTCTCGCTTTCTCTGGATGAGTGCTTCAGTCATTAGGCTGTTTGCACAAAAGATGCCAGAAGAGCATTTTTTAAAAGAGTTGGCCAAACTTGGTTCAGTTTGCAGATGGAAGTGACAATGTTCAGGGGAGAGCTTGAGGCTCTGGATCCTGAGGTTGCACAAGCCTTTTCCTAAATGCGTGTTAGAGTTGCCTCTTGGATGGGGACTGTACCTTCCACTTTGGCCCCCATTTTGTTCATGATATCCTCCCCATATGGCAACAGCCCTTGTGATGAATGGGACTATTTACTAAAAGGCTTCTGCTTTCCCTTCTTCCATGGTTTTAATGAAAAAAAAAAAAATGTGGCACTGACAGTCCTAGTTTATGTATACTCCGTGTGCTGTTCAGCTGATACCTGCAAAAGTGCGTGTAGGGCAGCCCTGTGATCACAGAAGTCTCCCCAGGACCCGAGGTCCTCATCCCTCAGTGCACGGTGGTAATTACAGAGCCACTCTCCTCCTCACTCCCAACCCACCTATTCCCAGCTTTTCCACTTGCTCACTTGTCTCCAGTGACTTTTTCTGAGCTAATTGCTGCTCTACAAGAGCACTCTTCAAAGTAACACTCAAAGCCATCCATGGAGAAGCACCTCACTCCACTTATTAATACTTATTAGCATTAAGGTCTGTGGCTCACACAACTGATTGCAAGTCAGTCCTTAATGTATAGATGTGTGCTGCAGAGTGTGGCCCACAGTGTGTGCATGCTGTGGTTGCTCTTTCTGCTACACTTTAAAACTTGCAGATTTGGGAATTTTTTAGTATTCCTGTTCTCTGCACACAGCCATAGGACAAAAAGCCTCCTCCAGTAATTAATTTCCTGCTGTTCTCTCTGCTGTCCTGTTTAGGAACAATACCTGTGGTTTTCTGGACTCAGTATTTTCCCCCGGCACATGTCTCTTCTCCTTGACAGTTCCTCTGTCAGCCTCTTTGCTTGCATCCTAGTCAGTCGACACTGTTTCCCTGGCTCAGCATCAGCCCAGCATCTCCTGGTTGAGCCAGAGCCACTTTCCTGGAGTAGCTATTGGGTTCCCCAGCCTGTGTTACAGCTGCAGCATCAAACCAGAGGGTACCCAGCCTTTGTTTTACAGGTGGCTGATTGTCACACCAGGACTTAATCAAGTAGGAGGAAGTCAAGAAATTGTGGGGGGTGACTAGAAGTCTTTCAACTGCTAATGGAAGTGGCTGCCACTTAGAGGTGACCAAAAGCAGAGATTCATCTGTCCTGATAAGTCTGTCAGGTTTTGTGTCTCAAGTCATTTTTTCCTTTGGTAGCTTATACCTGTTAAACAAAATGCAGCTAGATTTTCTGCTGAGAAACAGAAAATTTATCCTAAAGAACAGTGATTTCACAAGATGCAAACTGCAGTGCCTGTCAGATTTCCTTTCTGTTAAGTCTCAGTGATATCAAACCACCTCAGCATGTGTTTTAGGCATGCAAGTAACCGCATGGACTTTCAAAATGAGTATGTGCTGCCTTGGGCTGCACTGAGGTCTGCAGAACCACTGTGTATCAGCTCACTGATGGCTAAGCTACTTTAATTTGAGGCCATGTGTAGCTTTGAGTCCTGGAGTAAAATGATGTCATTCAGCTTTCTTTTTGTGCTTTGTTATTTAATGTAATTCGGAACTGGAAAAGTGAAACATTGGCAGCATAGGATTGGATCCTCCTCCCATCTGCATCTGTGGGTGCTGTGTACCAGGTCTCTATATCTGAACCCCCACCAACATGCACTATCAATGCCAAGAAGAAACTTCTAGAGCATGTTAGAAAGTAAATAAAGTGGAATCATGTTCTGGAGGAAAGGACCCAGAAGCAAATTAATGGAGAACACACTCAGTGCTCCATTCATTTCATGTCTGACAACTTAATGTCTAACTACCAGATGCAGTCTTACTTGTTTCACTGAACTTGCATCATTTCATACTAGAGAGAAATCTGTGTTCTTAGAGAAGGAAGGATTGTGATAGCTGTGATAGCTAGGGCTTCCCACACTTCTTTCCTCAGTCGAGGAAACTCTACCCTGTAAAAGGAAATGAGGATCTCAAAGCTAACAGACAAACAGAAACCCCTCTCTACAAGCTGTAACAACTTTATTCTTTTCGATAAACTCTTGCCTCTTGTAGCAATCTCTTTCTCACAATGACCATCATGCACAATGTGATAATGCATAAAAACAAATTGATTTGTCTGGAAAACATACCGAGACCTACTGCTTTAACTCCAGTGACAGCAGGAAATACATTGTCTCATCCACTCCTGACTGTGAAGCTCTGAACGGGGCTGAGATTTGTATTCCCCTATTCAGGAAACATGCACAGTTTATCTTGAGTTGTATTTTATATTCATATTTTATCTAGGTTAATCTTTGGTGTTATCCCTTTGAAATGGTTCCAGGTCATGCTGAAATTGCTAGGAATTGAATTTGATAGGAAAGTACTATGTAGTTCATGCTGGTAATACTCTTGCTAATAAAAAAGGGGAAATACATTGTGGATGCAATGGCCTTCTAGCAAGGCAGATTTACTGGGGGCAGCAGGAGGAGCAGAGCATTGCCCTGTGCCGCGCACAGGCTGTTGGGTTTGTGGCAGTGGAGCATTACCCACTTTACTCTCCCTGCACAGTGCATTTGATCAGGATTAATTTGATTCAGTCACATAGAAATGGAGCTGAACGTGCAAGCTGCGCTGTGGCAGCCATACCTTTTCATTTCACTTTCTCTCCCTTTCCTCTTTGGCTAAGAGCAGTGGTTAAAAGCAGTAGCTACCACCCCAGCAAGGAGCAAGCCTGGCCCAACTTTGTGATGGAAGGCTGCATCTGGCAAAGCTCCACTCGGTTCTCCACTTTGTTGGGTTTCTGTGTTTGGTTCCATTTTGTAAATCCGTTACTCATAACTCTTCATGTGGCTCCAAGAGCAAAGTTTCTAGAAGTGCCATTTGGAAACAGATCCATACGTATCCATATGCAATTACCTCAGACGATGATTACGGTGTTGTTGCCTCTCACAGCTCAGGAACACGGCGGTGCAGCCTTGCCTTCCTGCTCTGACATTGGCTGGAGGGAGTGAGGTCCCCTTGCTCTGGAGGGGGCAGAGTCACTGCGGTATTTGTGTTCTCTGCAGCTCTCTTCTTGTGCCATGCTGCGGTCTCTGAATGGCTTTGTCTTTCTTACAAAATACCTTTAGATAAATAAGGATAAATGTTCCATGCAGGAGAAAGGGAAACAGATTGAATGTCTCTTGCAGACCCTTTTGGATGTGCCAGCTGTGACACCTATGACCACAAGAGACTGGATTTGAGGGACACAAGGCGCACCCTTATCACAGCTGGCAAAATGCACAAAACATTCAGCTGAGTAGGTTGCCAAGCTGACAAGAGCAGTCATTGCAGTTGAGAAATCTTGGCCTTCCATGGACCAGAGAGGGAGAGAGAACTTCTGGGTCGCAGCAGCAGCTGCAGCTCCTTCCACTCCCCTGGCTCCTGGCAGGCAAGGAGGCTGTTTCGTCAGGCATCCCCTAATTCAAGCACCTTCCCAAACATGGTCTCCCCTCCTGCATACCAAGTCCATCATGTGCTCCTTCCCACACAGCGCTGTGCCTTGGCAGGGGGACATGCCTGCGCTTGCAGCGGGCCAGGAGCAGCACCCTGGGCAAGCTGGAGCCCCAGGACGTGCTGGAGTGCCCTGAGCAGCACAGCGAGGGCTGGGCCTGGGAGAGCCCTTCTCTTGCTGCCGAAAATGCCATCTTCCTGACTCTGCCTAAAAAAGCCAGCTCTGTATTTCTGCTGGTCCTATTTTCCTGTCTTTAAATTATATCATTTAGATAGTGATAAATAAAGCAAACCTGAACTCTTTGTCCAGATGCTTCCTTTCCTCCTATCCTTGTGTACATTTCTGTCCAGCTGCTTAGCAAGCTTGACAGCTGTGTTTTAAAAATCAGTTCTTATCCTCACAGTGCATGATGTGACTTTATTATACAGATCCCAGTTCTGCTGATTGAGGCATTCTGATGATAGTGAGAAGTCTTCATTTATTAGGACACTGGAATTTAAGTTTTCTAGGGTCTCTGTTGTATTATATCAGATTATTTTTTTGGTTTTGAAAAATTTTCTTCTAGAATATTTTACTGAGGATGTAAGTAAATCAGATGTTATACATCAGCTATTCCCTCATCTGCAAAACTAAGCACTACACAGGTCTGTCCAAACAATGGCAAAGAATCCAGTGTCTGGTATGTGCTGACCACGCACGGCAACAGAGGAAAACTTCTTTCTACTTCCAGCTTATAACTCAACAATAAATAAAAAAATGCTGGTGACTCTTTTAACATCTGCTAGCTATACAGTTGATCTAATTGTAAAAAAACCCGATTGATAGAACTGTCATGTTTGTTCCAGAGTCATTGGGTTAAGATATTCGTTACATATAAATGGCCGAGTTGCTTTTATGAAAATATGATACATAAAAGCACTATTGATAGCATAAGCAATACACGTGCAAAAATATTACGCCCGGTTAATCTTTTTAGACACTTCACTATTCCCATGAAAGTGCCCCTGTGGACAAATTTTATCTTATCCAGTTTTTCCAGACAGATCTTGAAGTGTCTGTCTTTCTAAACTAACTAGAGACAGCCTGCACAACTGGCTGTGAATTGCATAACTTCAAGGTTGCTAAAGTCAGATGAGATGAATCCCATGCAAAGTCGCTGTTCCTCCACTTTGAATAGTGCGATGCCTAAGTGGTGCCCTATCCAAGCTGATAGGATACAGACAGAGCCTTAAAAAAGTGGTGTTTGCATAGTATTTGAATAACCTTAAAGCACACAATTCCATTTTGCCTTGTTAGTATCGCCTTGCCCATCTTTATGTGTTCGTGTATTTCTTCAGAGCTTACTGGATTCTTCTGGTTAGCATAAAAACCAACATGTGCCCAGGTTCATAATCCCTGCTACTGGGCCGCTGTAGAGTAACTTGCAGTAGAACAGTGGTTGGGTTACAAACTCACAGCTTTGTTTCTGTATAAAATCATAGATTTAGAAAAAATATTTGACCTGTTTGAGTCACTGGGATGGACAGCAGGGAAGCTTATCCCCCAGTCCCATATTCTGACGACATCACAGCAAGAAATCTGTGGGCCATGGCCACTTCCAGACTAGGATCAGTTGTGTTTGTCTGGCTTCAAGGAAAAGTATGAGGCAACAGGTTTGTCTCTGACTTACAGAGGCCACATTAAACCTCGGCAGAGTGCCTACCTAGGCGTTAAAGGACAGAGATGATGGATGATATTACCATTATACTCTATAGTGTATTAGCAAAAGCCATGTACTTTGCAGAGTGCATGGGATAGTAGGTACGATGTTTGTACACTGTGTTCCGTGGTAGCATAACCATTAATCTTTTATCTATGACTGAAAACTTTTTCCAGCTTTAGATAATATCTGGCAATGAGTACAACAGGAACATTGCTACATAGGCACTCTGAGATTATCTCTAAGCTGCAGCGATGGAAGGCTGAGATAACATGTACTGTTCTTAGTGTGGTTGATGCACGTATTGATTTTCAGCAAGTCCCCCAAAACGGTGATTTGAAACTCACAGTATTTTCAAAAGTGTGCTGCGTTCCAGGGGTTTGTCTTTTTTATTTTTCTTTTTTTTTTTTTTTTCAATGGTACTATATAAAGTGCATTTCTAGTCAGAGGAAGATAGCTCAGTCTATACAATCCTTACCTTGCCAGTATGATCAATTTCTTTCCTTAGGGTGTACAGAGGGAATATGAATATTCCAAATTAATAGGCTCATTAATCATCAGAGCTGATTAGGAAAAAGAAATGTGAATGTTGCACACAGTGACAAGGTACATGTTAAAATGGTAACTGGCTCTATAAAAGTGACTGGAAATGCTGATAATCTATGTATAAAGCCAATAAAATTATACAGCTAGAATAGGCAAAGGGAAGTCAAGATAGATTTTTTAGACTATTTTAAAAGTCAGAATTGCAAAACTGGTTTTCATAAATAAGCAGCTGTGTCACTATCTAAGAAAACATCAAATAATTTAAGTATCTGATCTTATCCTGTCTTTGTTACTCAGGCAGACTTTCCAGTGACTCCCGTGTGGTTAATGCTTGAGGAAGGGCCAAAGGAACTAGTCCAACACTTGACAGGTGGTTAGGAGTGACTGTCTGCACCGCAGGGTCCAGGGTTTCCAAGGCAGAAATCTGAGCATGGCCAGGAGGACACAGGCACAGCAGACGTCTGCGGCTGCAGGCATCCCTCCCAGCTGTACGGTGCTAAAGGCCTGGCTGTCCCCTGCCGCAGTAAAAGGACACGCACGAACAAGCATAAGCCTGGAGAGAGGTCCGTGTAGCAGGGCTTTCAGGAAGGATGCCAGAGCCACCTGTGGTGCAAGAACCAGCACTAGAGACACACATGGAGCAGCCAAACACACACCAGATTATTTAAACAGCGAACTCTGCAGCCATTTTAAATTAAACTGGACACCTGGGACTTGCACCAAAATGTTTGCGTGGCCACTTCTGCCAGTGCCTGCTTGCTTTGCAGCCTCAGAGGAAAATGAGCAATGCTGCTGGTCACCCCCAGCAGGGTTTAGGTGGCACAGAGGCTGTGCTGGACTCCTCTGCCCCTCTGCATAGGTGCGTGGCTGGGGCTGGGGCAGTCACCATCTCCCGCACCCGGGCTCCAGTTTATACGCTGCTTGTTGCCCTTTCTCTACACAGTATTTTTAACTAATTATTTCCCTTGATACCTGAAGCCCTGCTGCAAAATTCAGTCTGCTAGCGTCTGTGTATGAATACCAGCATGTCCCAGTGAGCGTCAGGTTTGTAGACAAAAAGTTAGATTTCATGCTAGCCAGTGGGCACATCTATTTTCCAACATCAATATTGCAGGTCAGGACAAGAACTAATGATATGCAGATACCACTGTTTTGCCTGCCCATGCACACTTCTGTCAGGTTCAGCATCAGGGCCTAACTTTACTTTCTCTTCCACAAACAGCTTTCAGCAGCCTCTATAAATGAATTATTATTGCAACAATAATTGCATCTGAATGAAGTCTGGGAATATATAATCTACCGCATTCATTCAAGGCAAAAGGAGACAGATAAATGACAAATATACCATCAAATAAAGCTCTGAGAAAAAAAAAAAAAGACAAAACAGAAAAATGGATATTAATTGCACAAGTTGAAAATCTGTTGAATTTAGTTACACAGGCATTTTATTTCCAAACATATTTTTTCAATAATGGCTTTTTAAATGTGTAATATGCATATGATAAAATAGCTCTTACTGGTTTTTATCATCAGAGAGGGCTTCAAAATATTGTGATGAAACTGGAAACTGGTTCCGCCATCCTGAGAGCAACCGAACTTGGTCCAACTATACCCTGTGCAACTCTTTCACCTCTGAAAAACTGAAGGTATGTTACAGTTAAAAAGGCAGTGATTGTTTGGGAATGGTTTTGGCTAACAGTATGACACATATGAGAGAAATCAGAATAGTCCTCATCTTTTAGCTGTACTTGTACAAGAATTTAATAGCATTGTCCTCGTGATTTTAGCATATTAGAATTATTTGATGAGTGCTCAAACCTAAATATAGGTTTGCTACAGGGTTCATAATTTAGTAGCAATCCATGTGACAAGTTTTGCACTATTTTTCAAATGCATTTTTTAATTCCTATGATTTCCCTGATGATTGTTCAACAGTTTAAAATGAGCCTTTAGAATACCAATTTTGCTTTCTGTAACAAGTATCTTCCAAGCTGTTGATGTCTTCTCTGCAGGGCTAGAAATACTAATATAAGTTAAACCGAGTTTTCTTAAGCAAAGAATATCATCTTGCACTCCTTTTGAAAAATAAATATTTAAGAAGGTACCATTAATCCAGGAAATCCCACAGGCCTGAGCACATTTAACTTGAACAGTTTGACTGAAGTCATTGAGGCTGTTTACAATAATGAATTAAGCATTTGCATCAATATTTCCGAAATCAAGTTGCTAAACTGAAAGAGAAGTAAATGTAAAAGCACCAAAAGAAACAAGGAGAGAGAAATCTGAGAAAAGCTTAAAAAAAATGAAGTTAGGGAACCTCATGAAAATAAACATTTCTCAACTATGAGTGGAGCTCCAGGAAAATCTGATTACAGATTTGTGACAGAATAATTTGTGACTATTTGGAATTGTGGAAGGAGAAGAGTCAAAAAGTTATTTGATTTGGGGTTTGTGTTGGAGGATCTTTTTTTATGCAGCCAAAAAGCAGTATGTGGTTATATTTAGTAATGATCCAGCACAAAGAGCCTTGGAAAAGTCTACTGGACTAGGCAGGAGGTGAATTCTACAAGTTTTTGCAGCATGAGGAACCGTCATGGTAAAACAGGGCTCACCTATGTGACAAAGCAATACGAGCTCACAGAGACATTAAAATGGAAGCACCGTAAAAATAAAATTTTTCCAGATGTTGGCCCATGTAGGGAGGCAAAAATGTAGTTCTGTTGCCTATTATCCATGCCTTCAGGAAGAACAATTTTGAACATAATTCAAGCAAAGTGCAGATAGAACACCAAGGAAAATTATACATACGTTGAGATTCTTCTGAAACAAAAAAGTATTGGAAAATGCAGAAAGAATCTGTCTTTATAGAAATGCCAAGCTAGATTATGACCTTTAATCCAAGTCCTCAAAAACAGGAGTATGCTTCATTTGTAGACTCTTTCCATGTACCTATCACTGATATAGTTAACTGAGTAGGAGGTATTACTATTAGAGAATTCTCTTTCCTCAAGTGAAGAATTCTAGGGGAAGAAAAAAAAGAATATCTAAGTGTTTATTTCAGAAGTTATCCAAGCCCTGGATTAAAAAAAAAAAAAATGCATAAAATAAAAATTTGGTGAGTCAGCGTGTTATAAATCCTATATGTCAGAAGGAACATGACAGATTGCCATTTTGAGGTGTGCAGAAATTAAGAAAATATTTCATTATTTGTTTGAAGTTAACTGGAAACACCAACATGCTATACTTTTGAGACAGATCAGTTAAAAAAAATATATATTGCAGCCAGTTCTTAAAAATGCAGTGATAGACCGCATGCTTTGTTAGCTGAAAGTTCAGTCCATTCTGATTTTTGTTGTTAAATTTAGAAAGCTTTTTTGAGCAGTTACCATAGTAAATTTACCTAGTGTAATCAAAAGTGCTATTGCTGAGTTGCAGATATACAGTTAAACTGATTTAGCAGTTGTATGCTGAAAGGTAGGTAGTCTGAATAACTAAGAGTTCTCTGGGGTGCACATAGACTTGCCTGTGGCTATCTGGAAGTCTTTCCTATTTCTAGCTGTTTCAGGGTAAGGGTCATATACAGGGTAAGCAGCAAAATAACGTATTTTTGAACAGTTAATCTGTAAATTGAATTCAGGCTTAAAGATTATGCCCATCTAATATCAAGAAAAAACATAGCAACCACTTAGCATGGAGTGGAAGAAATGTCACACACACACTGGTAAAAACCTCTCCGACTACTCTGTGTTCAGAAAGTTGTCTCATCTCTGCACTTTGGTCTTCCCTCTCTGGGGTTGCTCGTGCTCTCAGAAAAAGTTCTCAAGCATTTGTGCTCACCAACAATGTTGTGGTCAGTCTTTGTGAAGGAAAACTAGGAGACCTAGGGTATTTGCATTTAATATGCCTAGATTTCCATAACTTGGTGAAATATATTTACTCTCAGATCATGTTTGTTCTACATCGTCAGGATGGTGTAAGTGTGACTTTAGTTTAAATCTGGATCAGGCCACCACCACTTAGTTTAACAGAAGCAGGAGCTGACCCCAAAATTGTGAAATGACTGAAGAACAAACTAGATAAGGTGTGCACCTTTGCTAAGAGGAATGGCTTTGGGTTCTGAATTTTATTCATATTTGTTTTCAAGTTAAATATTACTTGGAAATACCAAAAAAAAAAATGTGAGTGGCAAAACAGGGCTACAGAAAATCACTGAAAAAAGGAAAATTGCTAATGCATAACAAAATAAAAATGAATGAAGCAGAGCTGAAAAATAAACCCAACAGAGGTACTAAGACCTCCTATCTAGCCTTTTTTTCAGGACAGGCTGATACTGTATTAGTGGTTTCAGAAAAGAAGGCGATGGTGAAGCCTGGCATGCCATCTAGCTTCCTGCAGTCTTCTGACAGCTGGGTGATGCTTAAGAGCTTGGCTGAGACCAAAGTATGATATTTAAATACCACTGCATTCTGCAGCCCAGGTGCTGTCTTGTGATTTTGTTTCACTATTGGTGTACAAAATATGGATGGACATTTCTTAGATTTCACTGATATTAGTCAAAGTGAAAGCCAAATTATCTATTCATGCATGCTGGCTTCACAGCATTGTAAGTCCATCTAATTGCCTGATAGTGAGGTTCACCCCAGTGTGAACAACAATTTGTCTCAAGGTGTGCTTTTCTAGTGTGGTGGTAGTAAGGGGTGATTTTCATCTCATCTGCTGCTTTGATGACTCTATAGGCCTTAACCATAAGCCCATTCTGACTTCTCTTATCCAAAGGGGAGAATCCCAGCATATGTACACAGCGCTCATAACACAGCTGCTTTACCTCAGTTATTTTAGTTGCCTTCTTTGCACTTTTCCATAAGGTGTGGAGACTAGAAACACACGTGCATTTAAGATGTGCAATGTAAATTTTAAACAGAGGCACAATTATGTTCTACCCTCAGTGTCTTTCCTGATGATATCCAACATTTTGTTCACTTTTTGGCTGTCGTTACACAGTAAGCCAGAGAACTTGCCAGGATGACTCCAAGATTTCCTAATCATAGTATCATAGAATCATAGAATAGTTTGAGTTGGAAGGGACCATGGAGGTCATCTAGTCCAACCCCCCTGCAGTAAGCAGGGACATCTTCTACTAGATCAGGTTGCCCAGAGCCCCATCCAACCTGACCTTGAATGTTTCCAGGGATAGGGTATCTACCACCTCCTTCCTGAGTTTGGTTTCCAGTTCTGATTTCAGCATTGTGTAGGCAGGGTTAGATCATTTGTCTCTATGTCTATCACCCCACTTTCTTCTGTATTAAAGCTCACATAGCATCTTCTTGTCCCCTCAGTTATGTGAGGCCCTTCTGGAGTCCTTCACTATTATCTGGAAGACCTAACTATCACCAGGAAACGTAGAGATTTCTCCAAAAATGTCCATTAAGCTTTTGTTCCCTGTTGTTTAAGCTGCTTTCAAACCATAAAAGCTTTCTTCCAATCCTGCAGCAACATATTTTCTTTAGTAATATTTTTATGGGGAAACTTGTCATGGGCTTTCTGAAAATCTGAGTGTATTATGTCTGCTGCACTCTCCAAGAGCTCAGTAAAGTTAGTGATGCATAGTGTGAGCAGGGATTGCGCCAGTTACTTCAGTGCAGCAGAAACAGATCAACTCATGTAAGAAACAATTATCTCATCTTTAGACCACAAGTCATGCTATTTAATAGATTGCGATATTGCATGTATATTGAAAAGAACCTTTGAAATGAAAGAAATACAAAATGGGAGGTTGATTTTGTAGATTCTTCCTTAAAGAGAAAAAAAACCAAGTGCCTGCAAATTGTTCATGTTTGCCTTTTCTTTTTCTTAAATTGCAGATGGCGTTCATACTTTATTATATGGCGATCGTTGGCCATGCTTTGTCTATAACATCTCTGTTGATTTCCTTGGCAATTTTCTTCTATTTCAAGTAAGTTTTTCTTACACTCTCTCTTCTTTCCCTGAGGGATCTCAAGTAGTAACCAAAAAAAAAACTTGGAAGGGGGCATGGCAGTGAGAAACAGCTCTTCTGAGTGCCTTTTCATGTAATCCTGGTAAAAAAGTCTCAGCACAGGGTCCTCTGACCAATGACACATCTCGCAAGGGTGTGTAGCCAAGATCATGCTCTTGGATTTATCAAGTCTGGGGAAGCACAGCCCATAGGGAAATGGTGTACCTGGGGATGTGGTAAGGCCCTTCATTTCCCAGTTGCCTATTGTTCCTTGAAGGGCACGTCCAGCCCCTGGCAGGCACAGTGACTGCACAGGGCAGTGGCTTGGGGGCCCAGCTCCTGAAAGACAGGAATACCTTCATCTGATGCTGGAGGACTGAGCTATTGACTTAAGTAGGTGCTTACAGGACTCAGCACTAAGCATGCATCTAACACTAGTGTGTAGCCTGACATCAGCATTAAAAGGAGAAACAGTGATGTGCTGTATCAGAACTTTAAAGGAGAGTAAATTGATATTCACTGAAAGCATTGCAGCTACTGTATGGCAACTTGAGCATTTAAATCCTGTCTTTTAGTGAACATGTCTCTACATTATTTATTAAAATGTGTCTGCAGTGAACGGGCGGAGGGAGCTTAGGTTTGCTGTGGGACATGTAGTCACAGCTTCAGTTGCAATCAGTAGTGGAGGCCTTTGGTTTACAGCTCAGGGAAAAGGTAGGCGTTAGAAGACATCAGAGGCACAATGGACAAGATCCTGAGCTATTGTACATCCAGAGCTATGATGACTTGCATAAGATATATTCTTCTAGCTCTTAAGCAATCTTTTTAAGGTATTTCACTTTGATAACATTGCTATAAACTGCAAACTTCCCAGACTGATAGCACACTCAAATCAGGATTGTAATGTCTATTTACAGATAGATGAAACAGAATGATACATCCAGTATAATTACCCAAATGAGATAGTATCTTACTGATTTCAGCAAGGGTACATGAGTTCCTCATAATCAGATAGCCAGACCATCAGTTCATGACCAGAGACAGGGAAATGCTCACCATCAGTAGAGTATATCTGGAGATAACTGCCAGGTAAGTTTTCCAGCTTTACCTGGATAGAGGTTTCCAGAGATACAGTATTCCCCACACTGCACACGGGGAAATAAAGTAAGAGTATCAGAAACAATTACAAATGTTTCTGAATAAATAACACACACAGGTATAACCTGATGTACTTTTATTACCAAAAAAACTTCATTCAAGAATACAGAAAAACCCCAAACTCTTTGAGGAATACAGTATTCTTTGAGCAGTCAAGAATACAAGGAAAATGGAACACCAAAAAATATTTTTTTTCTTCACAAGCTTCTTTACAGAGTTTAAGAAAGAATAGTTACACAATAATGGCAATCTGTAGTAATTAAAAGTCCATCACCATTGTCATTGTAAGAGTATACTGTTTCAAATTTGCAATTTAGCCTGCAGGAATTTATTTCAAGCTGAAATTATGCCAGAACACAAATAGGCCTGTGTGAGAGTATTAATAATCTTCTTTCTACATTAATATCAACAGATTGTAGCCCTTGATAAGCATCCAAAATACAATTTTTTGTTTCTTTCTCATCATCCTATTAGAAAAATAAATTATTTCCTTTTGAATATTCATCAATCTATTTCAGCATTTCAAAGACATATTTGCAATCCAGAGGTGTAGAATACTTCTAGGGATTAATTATCTTTCCAGCAGACAGATAGAGAGCATGACTTCTGTATACAGGTCAGAATTTATAATTTGTTTTTGTTTGGTTGATGTTTCTAGAAAAGTGAAAGCCAAAAATATGCCCTCAAATCTCCCAACTCAAATTTAACAAATACATCAAATGCTTGGGGTTTTTTTTGTTTGGTTTGGGTTTTGTTTTTTGGTTTTTTTTTCAGATTATGGTGACCAAAGTAGTAACTGTGAATTATGAGCAGGTTCTAAATTAATACCTTCCCTCTCATAGAATCACAGAATCATAGAATGTCTTGGGTTGGAAGGGACCTTCAAGATCATCTAGTTCCAACCCCCCTGCCATGGTCAGGGACACCCTCCACTAGACCAGGTTGCTCAAAGCCTCATCCAGCCTGGCCTTGAACACCTCCAGGGATGGGGCATCCACAGCTTCCCTGGGCAAACTGTTCCAGTGTCTCACCACCCTCACAGGAAAAAATTTCTTCCTAATATCTAATCTAAATCTACCCTCTTTCAGTTTAAAAGCTGAATCATGAGTATATATGCCTTATTTTCGAAAAGGGGTTTATTCTCCATAGAACCTTTCTTTTCCAAAGCAGTTTTTCATACTGAAACTCCCAAGGCTGAAAGGGAAAAATCAGTCATTTTTTTTATTCCTTTATCTTGCAGCCGTAACTTAAAGCAGAGGGTATTTCTGTAAACATTCAGCTATTCCTTTTTGTCACCTGTAAGGCCAGGGAATCGTAATGAAGTACAGCCAGTGAATTTTCTGTCATGACCATTTAGTTTTAAACATTTACTATGAGTCTTTTAATATTGAGTTCTTATGTGCCTAACTGGCATTTGTTAAATGTCTTGGAATTGGTAGATGTAATGTTCTGCAGCATAAGTTAAAAACTTCAATGCCATGTGACAAATTTTACATGATGGATTGTGAGGTGTCATCAACTTCATTATGTGAATTTCTGAGATGTGGGTTTTTTGGCCACAAATACACATTGGAAGATTTGTAGAATCCATCAATACACAGCAAACACAAAAGTACAGCTCACACATGCACAGTAATTGCATAAATTTGGGGATAAAAAGAACCACTTGCTGAACTCCCACTCTAGTGCACAAGGGGTGGTTGTCTCGCTCTAAAAATCTGCAATGAAAGGTGCTCCACAAAACCCCAGATACCTTTTGCCAGTGCTTAAATCAGTTCTAACCTCAGAGTCCGTGTATAATTTAATCAAAATCTTACATGAGACACCTTAGCCTGTTTCTAGTCCCAATTTTGATCTGTATGTGCTACATATCTATGGATATGTTCAGGTTGTGTGCCTTCTAATAGTAACTTTCTTAGTAATATTATGCAAAGTTTCTCCCTGGTTACTTCATCTGCTGCTGGTCCCTGGAAAGGTACAGCATGGATGAGGGTGTCCGTATAGGCTGGAAAAGGGTATGCTTAGCAAATTGAGAGGCCAGAAGAAACTGGCATAAATCTTAGTTAGATGTCTGTGCCTCAAATGTCAGACAGGAAGGGTAGTAAAAGAACAAGCCCCCGATGTCACCACCACCAAGAGTCAGTCTAGGGAACATAGAAAAATTAAATGGCTAGACTTTGCATAGACTATAAGAGTCTGTAAGATTACAAGCTCAAACTAAGTGGATCCAAGATACAGGTTGTGACTTCTGCTAATTTCGTTTGGTGAGTGACTGTGATAACGTGCAGTAATCAGATGCAGAGATAGCTAGAAACTCTGCCCAATAGACTGATGAATTCCCTTCCCATCTGTGTAAAGATAAAGAGTGCAAAACCACAGCCACAGTAGTGCTTTGAGAAAACTGTGAACAGCACAATTTAATCTGATTTGGAATCCTATATACATGCTTCAGAGTTCTTTGGGATGGTAAAGACAGGTTCTGGTTAAATTGGCTGCCCAAAATGGACCAAGACGGTGATTCCTTGCAGCGAGAGAGGCGGGATCAGGCTGTCTGACTCAAACCTAGCTCTGAGTCACAGACAACAGACCGTCCTGACCAGTCCCAGGCTGCGCTGAAAGACTCATCTTTGCAGCAACCTTCCAACAGTAACACACCTCCTCCTCTCTTTCCTCCTCCACTTCTTCCCCTTCCATGACCAATAAAAGACACAAAGGTTACAGGAAGAAGTAGAGAAACGAATCAAAACAAAGCCCTGCAAAATGGGAGGACAAAGAGGAAACCAAACCACAATCATAAGAAAGTGAGAATAAAGCTGTGTGGGAGCCGGGTTCATGTTACCTTCAGTTGTTTTCTATCATCTGGCTATGACTGTGATATATTGTTTGACCTTCAATAGAAGTCAAGCTGTCAATCAGACAGTCAATCAGAAAGCAAGAGATGGTTTTGGGACCATATAATAGCCTTTGGCTGTAGAGGCAGCAACAAATAGCTTGCAGAGGTTGCTGTTTCCCACATGTAAGTCTTTCCTGGCAGAGATTTATCTTCCTTTCAGTTTTGGATATCAAGATTCATAATGATGTGGCATCACAGATGTTGCAGTACTTTTAGTAGGGAATACTGAACCAGTAATGATGAGCATCACTAGGCAATACTAGCTGATAACAGGAGACAAGCGTATTCATAGAGTGTCTAACAGTTACATGCGTCATCACACTATTGCAAAATTTTTATAATTGCATAGTGAAACCCCATTATCTTATATGATAAAACACAAAAGAAAAAAAAAGGACTTCTAGCTCCAAATCACTTCCAACTGAATTATTAAAACAAAGACATTCGTATAAAGATAGATGGGGAGTACAATAAGTCTAGATTTGCCAGAATAAAAGATGATGTGTTGTGAATTGCACCTGCAGTCTAGTTACTGCCGAGGCTTTTAAAGGGTGTTGAAGAAGGATACTGGGTGGAAGGATAATTTGTGGAAGTTTGTTGGGAGTTTTCCGCAGGGGTAAAGGAGAGCGTGGTAGAAAGCATGATGGAATGTAACTGGCTGGGGGTGAACACAAGTATGCTAGATGTTCATGAGTGAGAATAAGTGGCAGATTCACAATGCAGATCTATGACGAAAATAGTGCTGAAAGCTCCTTGAAAGTCAAGATAGCCTAGATGCAATAGAGAAGTGGAGATAGGAACTCAAAAGTAAGGGTGACTCTGTGAGCAGATAGGAGGACCTGTCTCTGTCAAAGGAGACATTGGATAGGCATGAAACACAGGGGAACCACAAGAAACACAGGAGGCTCTGAAACTCTGAGACACAGTTGATAGAGGTATAGAGACACAAAAATCTCACAAGTTTTAGACCCTGACAGCTGGCTTAGGTATGCCTTCTTCCATACTGATTAATGAAGCAGAGTAGGGAGCATACAGAAAGATGTGTGGGGGGTGACAAAGACCCTTCAAAAACACCACAAAGGAATGATTAGTAAATCAGGAAGAGGGCCAGGAAGAGAGCTAAGAGAGATCAGAGCAGAAGAAGATCACAGATGTCTTTCAAAACCAGCAGAGAGGATGAACAAAGTAAGGGTTTTGGTTTTGCTAGAACGCTCTCTCTGTGTGGACCAGGTCAGATGGGTGCTGATGCCATTTTGATGGCAAACACTGAAGGACAAATTAAAAAGTGAGAGTAAGGAAATACACACTTAATGATTTAGATGGGTCTTTAACATGAAAGGTGGAGTAAACGAAAAAGATGGGGAATACTGAGAGGAAAGTAGGAGAGCAATGCAGGAGTGGAAACTAAGAGGGGAAGGCAGGCAGGGAAAGGAGCTTGGGCAGCGGATGAAGGCAACATTCAGTGAAGGATGGTCCAGTTTAACAGAGGACTAAGACTGGAAAAAGTCAAGTGGAGCTGTGAGGAAGGACAGGAATGGGAGTGGAGGTACATGTACCTGTCAGAGATTATTACAAAAGACTGTCTCTCTTTACTGGTAGCCATATGGAGACGCAGCTGGAGAGACAAGGGTCTGCATCTCTGTGGCCAGGGGCTGAAGAGGCTGTTCTAAGTAATAGGGAAATTTTTATTTATTGGCAACAGGATTAACATCACACCAGTCCTGTTCCCAGCACTGCAAGAGAAAGACGGAGGGAGATTGGTACATGAAAGTGTCCAAAGAAGAGTGGGGCCAGTAGCATAGGTAAACTATAGTGATGGAGAATGGCAAGAAAGGAAGAATCAGGACTGGAAAATACCAACAGAGCTTAAGAGCAGAAAAGGAACATTATATTGGATTTGTGATGGAGGCAAATACAGATGAAGTAAGCACAAGAGCACAGTGTGGGAAAAATAGCTCCAAAGAATGGTCTGTTTTGCCCAATATCCTGTCCTACAGTGGATCAAACTGAAAGTGCACCTAGCATCGTATCTGGTGTTCAACAGTTGCCAATAGCTGATGCTAAAAGAAGAATATAAAATAAAGCCAAGTGTAGAGATACTATCATTGCTAGCTGCCGGTACCTGCATCTCATGGACATCCTGAACCGAAGAAGGTGTCTTGATAAATGAAGAGGTCAACAAAAGTGATGACCAGTGCAGGATGATGATGACCATAATCAGAAAGATGACCTCAAGCTGAAGGAAGAATTCCATCCAATTACTCAAAAAATAGGTGTAAGGAGAACTATGAATAAGTGCCAGGTAACCAAGGAGCTAAAAAAAGGAGAATAAACAAAGAAATGAGCAAAATAAGCAGAAAACGGTTCAGTTGGTTAGATTAGCACTTTAAAGAAAGTATATTCTGTGTTAGCCTCCACACAGAGTGTCAGAAAGTCACAGCCTATGCTCTGTTCCAGAATGCAAAAGACTCCCTAGTGCCAAGGGGGAGGCTTGCCTCAGTGAGACAGTGATACTTGCTCTTAGCTGGTTTTTCCTTATCAGTTTTGCCTCCTTGCTCTCGGTGATCAGTGAATACAGACATCACAGCATTATCTAACAACTCCATTATTGCCTTTCTGCAATCACCTCCTGACAGCTCCGGGCTGTGCTCCGGGGCATGGAGCACTTCGAGGGCAATGGTCTCTGCCCCAGGGGTAGCCAAGGAGGTGCGGTGAGGATTTGGGCATGCATTCAAAAGGGGAGACAATTCAGGTCTGAAACTGTGGTCGTTATTTGGTTGTACAAGAATCCTGTGAATTTGTCTTGTGAAATTCTGCATCCCACAATGGTAGAAACCCTACCCTCCCCAAAATCAGCCATTCAGAAAAGATTGCTGCTCCTTCTGAGCAGGAAAACAACCTCTTCTGGTTTGGGATCTCAGCTGGAGTTAGAAACATGCAGGATACCAACCCAAATCCCCCTGTAATTTAAGAGGATTCCTGCCCAAAGTTCCCATCCTGTCTCACCACTAATTCCTAAAGTAGCAAATAATTTTCACCTGAATATTTGTGAAACTGAGTCTCAAGGGAACAGTTAGTTATAAAGCACTATTCCTGATGTTCCTTACTTGTATCATGCACATCTAAATTCTCAGGGTTCTGTTTCACAACTTAATATCTCGATTACCATGAAATAAAGAAAGACATCAAGGGCTGAGAATGTAACCGGATGGCTCTTTACAACACGGTCTAAAAAGCATGTGCTACTAAACAGGTGTAAAAACAAAACCAAAAATTTCTCAGAGGTTAGGGCTGCAATGCAAGGCATGTATTTTCCGATTACGCCTTGCCAAAAGACATTCTTGAGAGATTGTTGCCAGAAAGAGCTTTTTAAAGTGACATCAGAAGAAAAATACTAATTTATGACATGTGCTACATATTTTGCAGGAGCCTCAGCTGTCAAAGGATAACACTGCATAAGAATTTGTTTTTTTCTTATGTGCTGAACTCCATGTTTACAATTGCCCACCTCATTGCTGTTGTGCCTAACCCGGGCCTTGTAAAAAGGGATCCTGTAAGTACTGCATGACTCCTCTCCATCCTAACACCTAAGTAAAATTACTAAGGCCACACCAAAACCAGACATTCCCATTCACCAGTTAATGACAGCCATCTGGTAAAACATGCATGGAGAGTGCAGAATCTGAGAATTTCACTCAACCTTGCTGAGATATTTCACTGAGCAATAAAAATCTTTGAATTTGGTACAAGAGGGAGAAGCCCCAGACTTGCTTAAGCCAGCCCGTCCGTATTAACGTCTGTCAGATCCCCACCGCTCTCGGCACTAGCTACCCGACAAAGCCCCCGAAGGGACAGGTACTCTCGGTGGTCACCTGTCCTTTCTCACAGATGCGCACGCTGGGGAGGGGCAGGAATGGAGAACGATACGGCTTTTTTCAAAATCCCCCCAAAAGGTCTGTTTGCTGCATTTTTTTCTTGGGAGGTGGTAAAACAAAGCAATAGCTTTCTTCACTGCTCTTGGATAGTGATACAAATTGTGCCAGCCCCTCAGCTGATAAATATGCTTGGCAGATCTCAGTCACCCAGCTCTGAGCTTGCTCTCTAACAGAGCAATCGCATTGTGCTTGCCATCATTACAGCGGCCCCGGCTGATGTGAAATTTATGCAAGCCTGGGAATCTCTCAAGGTTATGTCACAACACTGATCAGCTTGTCTTCTAAAAAAGTTGTTCAATTACGGTTCAACCATTTATCCGCTTCTAGTTTTATGAAAGCAATTAAACATTAGCACCTGATATTATCTGATCACGTGTGTCTCTCAAATGCGTGCTGGTTAAGTAAACGAATTAAAGCTTAATGGTTAAGTAAGCTAATTAAAGCAGGAAATACAGAGACTAAAGAAAACACCACCAGTTCCAGGGACCATCTGGAGATTAAAAAATAGAAGAGCAGAAGAATAATTTAAAAATCACACATTTTGTTTCTCTTAACTACATAGCATCATATATACATGGCTTGTGCAAGAGATTCAGTGAAAATACACTTGTTATTTGAAGATAAAAGCTGGCACATTATATCAGGCACCTAAATTGAGGCAAGATCATTACCTCAGGGTTAAGAGTGATACTTCCTGACAGCCGAAGTAAATTATCTGAATTGGAGTGCTTTAAACTAAAAGTTGAGGCTGTGGTGAGGACTCTTGTGCTCTAAGATGTCATTAAAAACCTGTATCTAGTGCCTTTGGGATGGATCTTTATTTAGAGTAAAATCTTGACCCCAGTGAAGTCAATGACAAAGCTCTTGGAGGCTTCAGTAGACCCACATAGCCACAGGACAGGTACTGGCACTCTGAGCATCACCTGATGAAAACCCCAATCTCCGTTGCTATGGCAACAGACAGAATAGTGGTTACCTTTGGAGGCCATGGAGCCCCAGAGCAGTCTGGAGATCCATGCATGCAGTCAGCTTTTGGGTCTCAGGCTTGACTAGGAAGAGAACCCTTAGTGCTGAATACAGTCATGGAAATCGCCCAAGCTAGTGTCCTTCCACTGATATTCCCAAATACAGCTGTGTTAGCAAACCTGGCTGCAGCTCGTTAGTTAAGCACATGCTTTGATGAACAAAGCCCTTGTTTTTCACTTTCTTCTTCCAGACCAAATTTGCATGAGTTTGACTCAGCAGTGAACTGCTGTCTAGAGGCGAGGTACAAAACCTGGGGCCAGAAGACCTGGGGTCTCCCATTTTCGTTCTGCAGTCAAGTGCAGGATGAAGGTACACTCACTGCTTGATCTTGCCTCACTTTCTAGATTTCCCATACTTTAAAAAAAAATCAGAATAAAAAAGGAGTTGAGGTGACCTGGTAATATGTTCAAAGTCTCACAACATTTTTAGAAAGAGTATTGTGTTATTTTAGTAACATAATAAACTTACAAATATATGACTGGGAAAATAAAATGAACTGTCAGGGGCAAGTTTTTAACACATGATAAAATTCCATATAGTCTCCATATGAGTATATGAAGACTTAAAGGATTTATGTTAAAAATTTACTTATTCCGCCAGGTAGATTGCCATAATATTTTTATTTTAGTGTTGATTAACAGAGCAAATGAAGGCTTTAGAGCTTGTTTTTTCCCATCCTTACTGCACTCTCTGTTTTAAGTCCATATTAAGATGACACTTTCTGTAGCTTGCTGCATTTATCCACTTTCCACCTCTGCATCTTCTGAGCTTGACAGGCTCATGTGTGTGTGGCTCCTACCTCCAATATATATAGAAATACTGAAGCATGTAGAAGGAATTTCAAATGGTCACAGATACCTCATATGTAATGGCCATATACAGAGATGAAGTTAGTGGTATTTATTCTGCAAAATAATAAAAGTGCTTCCACTTTAGTAGCTCCTGCTTTTTTTTTCCTGCATCAAGTTTCACAGTAAATTTTAAATATACAATGCCATGGGAAAATACTTACAGTGAATACATATTTATGAGGATATCAACAAATCCATACAATTTTGAAAGAAGAAACAAGGTTCTGTCAAATAATAAAGAAAAAAGACAGGAGGAGCAAGAGAGGAAATTCATCCCCAACACCAAGACACCCATGTTCTCCATGTATCCAGACATAAAACATGTGAGACAATCCAAAGCATAATTTACATGAGGAGAAGTCATACTGCGTCCTTACTCGCATATAGTTTGCTGCACAGAGTTAAACCCTTTGATCGTTCTGCTTGTGTAAAATGGTAAGTCAAGCCACTTTTTCAATGTATCTTAATTTGCCTTTTTTACTTGGTTTTTTTCTTTCTTTCTGGTTATATAATTTTCTCTCTCTCTCTCTTTTTCTCGGATTTATCTTGACCTGAAATGATGGAAGAGAAAGATGTGATCTCAGGTGGCCATACAAGAAGCAAAGAAGCAATGAAAAACATTCGGGGACTCTTGAACCGAAAAAAAACTAGGACACATGTATGAACAATTATTTACATATATTGAAAAATGTTACATGAGCTAATTTTTTGCATGTTGTATCTAAAGTAGCAATTGCATTAATTACACTATTACTGGAACAGATTTTGTAGGAAGGAGTATCTTCTATCACCTTCTTAAATGAGACTGACCCACAGAAGAAGGGTGATCTGTGAACAGGACATTTTATTCTCCATTAAAAACCATGGAAACAGAAATAAAACTCTTGTTGACTAATCTTTTAATAGTCTTGCACATCAAATCTGTATTTTTCATTTTTTGTATTCCACAAGACTAGGAATTTTAATACTCAGTTCTGATGGAGGTAAAGGAAGATACAGCTAATGACTGGAGGGATAGCTCTGCTAATGAAAAACTGAATAATTGATCACCTCCGTGGGCACCAATATAAATGTTTGTAGATGGGACTAAGTTTGGTCACAAATCAGTAATGGCTCAGTAATTGGAAGCTCATTCAGAAAAGCTTTAAGAGATCTTACTGCATTTTTATCACTTTCCTGTTCTATCAGAGGTAACAATCTGTTGTCTTCTTTCTCCAGGCTCTTCTGTAGTCTCTTCACATTTCAGGAAGTAGTTTCTCCTTTGCTTCTGGCATTATATGGTGTGAAAGTTTCAATTTCAATTGCAGTTTCATAGCATACATGGCAAGGCCAGTGCTCCAGTAGGAGCTCCTGGGAGCCCTGTGTGGGCTGTCATGCTTGGCCATGGTATATCAGAGAGTAAGGACCCAGCATCCACTCAGAATTTCTCCAATCTCACTGTTAAGTTCCAGCTCTCTGACACACATCTTATTTAAGCCTTAATGTGTAAATAATCTGTATCCCCTCTTGCACGGGTACAGCAGCAGAGCTGGTAAGAGAGAACCCAGAGCAAATCATGTTTTATTACAAGCACCGTGATCTCATTTTCTTAGCACGGACAGATTGGGCGTGGGCTGGGTTGAGCCTAACACAGTCCTTGCTACTCGCAGTATCTGTAACTCAGCTCTTGCTGAGGTAGGAAGTGCCTTGGACATGAGATATGATAAACTGAAGCTTGTTCTTGCCTCCTTGTGTAGATGTAGATATACTTTAAGGATCCTGAGCTAGTTCACCACTCTAGCTGATGGTGCAGCATGCACTCTCTGCTTCTATCAGGACGAGCAGCACAAACATTTCACTGACACTGAAAAGTTGCTGTCACTATGGGCACGTGGTGGGATGACAAAGGGCACAAGGTTTATTTGTATGGCCTGAAGCCCATCTTCTGGTAGGAAGCAAGCCAGGAGAAACCAGTAAGCTGCTTCCCACTGATCATCATTAGTGATACCAAGAGAAAGTGAGAAAGCAAGCACAGAAGCTGCTGTCCACTAGTGTTACAGCCTTTAAAGCAAGGCCATGGTAGTAGTAATATTTTTTAAAAATAGTATCCTCATGGACACCAGAGCACTATAAATAATCTCACCATTGACTAATTCAAGAGAAAATCATGTCTGTCCAAGTGTCCCTATCACTGTGGAAATAAAAAGCTAAGCTGTGTGGGTCAGTGTTTTTGTGAAAGCTGTGATCATCTTGCCTAGGAGCCCTTCGTCTAATGAAGGGTCCAACTGGCTGTTTAAAACATTGTCCTTCGGCTGCCTCAGGTACAGGAATAAAGCTTGGGCCCGGTGTATGTTTGTGAATTTACAAACCGTGCAAATTTTGTGCATTTGCAGATTATATTTGTGCATTGATTTCACTAGAACAAACTGGCTCAGCAAAGTTGGCCTGGAGAGAATAAAATGCATTACTTGCTTTTGTGTGAGTCAAAGAGGGCCAGTTACACCCATGCCAAGCTCTATTAAAGTCAAAGGGTTTCCACCAGTTTTGTCTCTCACCACACCATGTTCAGTGATGAAACGCTGGCATTTTTTGTTCAGCTCCAAAGTAAAACAGGGAGCAAATGTGCCTGTTGTGGGTGAGTGAACCAAACTCTTTAATTCATCATTTACAAGCAAAGGACTGAGGCTGTGCTTTAGCCTTGTAGATACCCAGTAGAATTTCAGTCATCTGCAAATAAATATCCGAATCCCATTTGTTTTCCT